AAGTTTTAAGCTTTTCAAAGTGAATTGCATAATAGAGTCTCTCTTCAAGAATTTTATTTTGCTGAGTTGCAATCGAAGCTGAAGACACTTGGAGAAAGAAAAGCTTGGCTTGGAATGCAATGTGATAGAATATGCCTATAAAAATGTTACTTTTGAGTGGCAAATAATGATGCTGATGTTTGATAAATAGAAACTTGAAAGGAAATTGTCAAAAAAAAGGCGGTTTATGCGACATTTAAACAAGTTGCTAGAAGAATTCATGATTCGGATGTTCAGACGAGGGAAGATCTTCAATAAGTTATCCATAGAGAAAGAGAATTTTTTAGAGCACTCTAGGATGAGTTGGAGAGATTCCATGTTCTGACGGTTGATCTGGAGAAGTGAATGGCGAATATGGGAACTGAAAAGAGACCTTGTCCCGCCTTATCACGTCTTAGGATTATGACGATATTATAACAAAAAAATTATGATCAAACCCTGGAATCCATCTTATGGTTGTTAGTGCGTGTAGTTCTCTCTTAGGAGTGAAAAGATACCAGTTATTTCCACGAGTTCTATGATCAAAATAGAAGAGATGAAACGTCAAGTAATTTTTAACTTTTGATTGATTCGTGCCTTCTGGAATTTGGGTGGAATAAAAAATGAATTTCTATTTTATCGTGTGATAGTTTTGTTTATAGTATGTAAGCCTGTTTTGAAAAATTAGATGTGGCAGTCCATAATCACGTAAGACCCAAGCTTTTCTTTTATTTCAATATTTTGAATTTGAATGACCACTCATTTGTGGTATTTTTACGCTTATATCTTCGGAGGTCTTGCTATAAAGTTGAGGCAGCCCAATCTCCCATTTTATATATATGTCAGAGAAACATATTGTTCTTCTGACCATGCTCCTTTTGCAACTTAATCTTTGTTTTTTTTTGATTTGTAATCATAACATCTCAGTAAAGTTCTTCCAATTGTTCTTGATTGGGTTATCGTGATTGAAGAATGCAGGGGGTTATTCCTCTCTCACAACTTTGGCACTAGTTGAGAGCTGAAGCTTTCTACTCTAATGAGTTTGTCGGAGAAGTTTGAGTTGAGAGCTGAAGCTTTCTACTCTAATGAGTTTGTCGGAGAAGTATGTTTTTGAGACATCGATCACTGTTCGTGCGGCTTGAAGCGATGAAACATTGAATAGTTTGGTGGAAGGTGAAATTTGTTATTATTATGACCAGTTTAGGTTAGGCCTTTGGTTTCTTTTGTGCGAAGAGCTTGAAAATATTATAAACTTTTATGGATTGGAATTGGCACATATTCGCCCTGATTGGATGTCAGTCTTGATGTCGCTTATCGTGCTTTTGTGAGATTAGAACTTAGATTGGCTGATAGATCTATTTTGATTGCTAGTGAGAATGAAAGCGTACTCGGATGGCACAATAATCTTATCCTCCTTAATTTAATTTATTGGTCTCGAGCATAAGATCTGTAAATGAAGAAAGAAATTATTTTTTGTTTGGAACAAGGAGGGGCGAAAGATTCCTACTACACCCCAACTCCTGCAACAAACTCAGCCTTAAGTGAGTGAGCTTTTCTGAACTTGAGAAGTTTAGTTACTGTTTCATTACAAGTACACGATTTATTGTAAAAAAAATTTATCATTGTCAATTATTTGAAGAACTTTTTGCGTGGTGAGCATCTATCATTTCCGTTTACTAGGGTTTTTTTTGAGCTTTAAGAAAGATAATGCCAATTTTAGAAAATCTTCAAAAAATCATTAAATCACTAAATATTTCCTTCAGGAACTAATAGAACTAATAGAGATGCATGAATTGAGGATTTAATATATGACAACTACGCAGTGAATATAAGCTATTGCTTGAAGAATTTAGTTAAGAGGGGGTTAATGTCTCCCTCTTTGATTAGCTTTGATAAGTTTTTAGAAGTCAGCTTGCTGCCTTCGAAAGAATATCTATGTATTCTCTTTCATAGTTGTATATTTTATGCTTTGAGAAATTGTATAAATTCATGAATACCTTGTAATGATTTTTGGCTTGAAGTGACTGTGTTTTGAGACAGTGATGATAGTCTTTTTGCCCTTTTTGAATTGATAAAGTGTCGTGACATTGGATCCTTCATCTTGAGTCTTACTATACGCATGAATCGAGCATTGAGTTCTCAAGATAAGTTGTCGCCTTAGGCGGGTTAGGCCTCACATGTGGCTTATTAAGCAGTTCTTATGACAGATTTCATGGGGGACCCACTTAAACTTGCCCCAGGGATGGCTCTCGCACTACTCATTGCTTTTTACGCAAAGGAGGGAGCCTATCCGCTAGGGCTAGAATTGTGTCAATGGAAATTGTTTTTATTTTTTTGGTTTTTTGTCGCTCGAGCATTGAGGTGGCACTCATTTAAGCTGCCAGACCTGTAAAGGCTCAGGTCAACATTTATAAGAGGAAATGAAATCCTCTGGCCATAGATTGATTGTACAATTGTAATGAGTCTTAGGTTTGTCTGATCATTTTAAGCATATCCTCTGGATATGACCTGTTAGAAAGTTCAAGTTATATCAATTACGGGCAGATATGCTAATAATTGAGATGTAAGGTGTTTTGATTTTTGTCTTGACGAGGGCTATGGTTTTTTTGGTGGTGTCCATGATTGTTGTTTTGTGACGGCGAAGGCGGCGTGACTTTTACATATGTGACTTTCATATCTTGGAAGTGCAAATATATATAAAAGAAGGATGAAAACTCTCATGTTCTTGTGATCCTTTATAAGAAACATATTAGAAATATTACTTAAGATAGAAAAGTATATCTACATGAGGTTGGAAGAAGGTTTCGCTTACAACGAAGATGGACAAAATGATCCTCACAATCAATAGTTTAGGGCTTCTTGCTCGTTGATATCCGAAGAAGGGGGCATCTCGCTCGTTGAATTTGAACGTTAGCCTGTTTGGATTCTATTCGAGAGAAAGTCTTCTCTTAGACATCGAGAGAACTCACTTCTTCTCGTAGAAATTATTTGGGATCCCTTCTTTATGGGGAGTAAGTTCTTTTAACTTTTTGTTTTTGCTGGTTGAGGCTCATATATGACCGTTAATTGCTTCTATATTTGCTTACCACTGGGATCATCTCTCCTTTTCTTCTCATTCAATCCTTCTTGTGATGAAGGAGGAATTAAGGTGGAGAGCTCCAATCCTGAAATGTGGTTGAAGAGCGCACTGAGGGTGTTAGACTTTTGTCCATATTTCAGGATTAGAGAGCTGATATACTCTCAAAAAAGAGACAATAGAGGATTGTACCTTTGTATCTTGTTCATCGATTGAGGTCATTGTTGCTATTTGTGTTTGGATTTTGTAATTTCTTCTTAAATGTTTATAAGAAAATCTTGATTCGTTCCACCTTTGATGTTTTTTTTTTCCGACTAATCATGGCTGTAAATTCATTTATTGTCTATTAAGTTTGTTCTGAGAGAGAGCTCAAGCAAACTTCTAATTGATTTAACCGCGTTGACAATTCTTAACTTATATGTTCTTTCCTGTGATATTACTTTTAAGATTCAGGGACTCGTCGATTTTCCTATAGGTTTTTCTCTCTTGAGGACTTGTAGTTACACTTACAAGTCTTCTCATTGCCTAAGTACCTCTGACTTTCTTGAATGCCTGATCATCATTTTGGGTGAAAAAGCATATGGCCATACCCACCCTTTTTCATAGGTTGCCAGATGCTTCGTTCACATGTAGAATTTAGAGCTCATCTCTTTTTGTGTTGATTTCTTCATCTGATGATATTTTAGAGAAATCAATAAAAAAATCGGCAATAACTTGAGCTTTAAGATGCGTTTGTTTCAGTTGTGGTTGTATAAAATCTCAGTTTAAAATCTGTTGTGGAAAATTTGTTTTTCAAAAGTAGTTGGTATGTTTGAAAATTATAGTTTTGAAAGTGTTGTTTGTGGACAAATGTCTATAATTCTTCTCTGCTTATAAAGACAACTTATAATAATTTGAAACAAAACAAAACAAAACAAAACAAAACAAAATAAAAATGAGAGCAATAAAAAATGTTTTTACAACATCCAGTGCTTCTACAATGCCACCACCTGACAAAACTTTGAATGTCCTAAAATCACAAGAATGGGAAGCTTCAAACCTTTAAATAAGCTCAAAACGGTAACAAGCATTAGGCACACAGTTATGGCTAAACAACGAGAACCATGGTCCATGCACCGTCGCCCTTATCCCACTGAAATCACCAATTTCCACCTCCACAACTTTTTTCATCAATGTCTACAGTGAGAAGGCTGAGAAGCTCGAACAAATGGATGAGATGTAGTGCGACACACACGTCGATGGTATCCTCCACGAGAGAGGGTAGATGGGGAATTAGCGACATTCTCCAATGGATAAGTGGCGGTTGGAATTGGCAGAGGAACATTATGTGGAGCAGTATTGGACAGAGGGCGGCGTGAATGAGAGCTAGCGTGCAGCTGCATTCTTTCACCAAATTTTTTGATCCCGTGGATGCCACGGGGTAAATTAGGAAAAGCTGAACAGCGAACACCGGACTCGGGCCTCTAACCACTGTCGCAATTTTAATAGAAATGGGGTTGCGATTTGTACCACGGTCACCCAAAAATGTCATTCAAACACTTAAAATTCCGGTTCGGTTAAAAAATCTGGTTGAAAAGCGGAAACAGATGCACCCTTAATTGTTGTTCTGGTGTATAGATGATAGCAAATTCGCTCAATTGTACTCCCACTTGAGTAGTCTACCCGAATGATCGGGTTTGGATGACAGTGACTTCAAAGGATAATTGGTAATAACGTGCACAGTGTGAGCTAGCAAATAAGGGCGTAGCTTTCTTCTCAAAATGATGAGGGCCAGAGCGAGTTTCTCCATTATTATATACTTTCATTCAGCTCTCTGAAATATTTTGCTCATATAATAGACAAAAAATTTCTTTTTGTTCCCTTCATGAACGAGAATTGAACTGATAGTTTCTCTACTAACATCCAGGTAGATGTATAGCTCTTCCCCTGCACGGGACTCTAGAGTAGAGGAAGTGATGGTAACAAGGTTTTCAGTTGCATTTGGTAATATTAGTGCTACGAGATTGTTATTGCAAGTTGTCTAAAAAATGATTTCTATTTATATATTTCTCATTTTTTTTCTGCTACAATAAGTGGATTTTGCAGTAGATGGTGCTTGATAGATGCAATCATGAGTTTGGAAGCAGAATCTCCTTTGCATTCCTCAAGCAGCAGCGATGATTTTTTGATGTACCTTAATGCTGAGCTGGATTTGGAGGCTTCAGAATCTTCTCCTCAAGATGAAGAAGTTGATAATGCTCAGATAAGTGTTGTCGAAGAGCCAAGGTATTTTTGGAACATTTTGAATTAGTAATTTTGTATTTTGTTCTTTACTTATTCATTGTTCGACTATTCAAAAACTAAGTCAACAGTGTTTTAACTAAAAGCATATAATGAATTTCTTGAGTGCTCATCCACAAGTTTTTTTGCTGTTTTCATTGAATGCATATTTCTTGAAACAGCTCCTTTGCTTAGTGATATTGCATTTTAAATGTTATCCAGCATGAAAAAAATTGATCTTTTTCATCATCATCATCATCTTCATCATAACAAGACTGCTTTCTTTGATTTATCCCTTCTGTTGTCCGAATCATCTTCTCCTCTTGGTTCTGCTCCTATTCCTCATAGATTTACCCCTTCTTGTATGCAGATTCACCCTTTGCTGCGTGCCACTCTATGATTCTTTGTTCTCGAGCTATCTTTTTTCTTCTCTCTTTCTGAGGTTCCCATAAATCTGTGTAAGTTAACAATATTCATTTCCGGTGAGGTGACACTTGTTTTTACATAACCATTGAGAGATGTACATAATAATAATGTGAATCTGGAGTTTTCTTTTCGTTTTCGATATACATGATTTTCCAATTCTACAATATACTGACTAGAAGTTTAAAAGATGTTGTATAAGATACAAAGAAAATGCTAGACTTTCTATGCTCTATATTTGAATGAAAATTTGCATTGGTAATTTTGAATATATTCATAAGAGATTCTGGACACCTTCTGAGGCGCAACACATTCCATGCTTTATTAGTGGGCTTGTAGAAATCAAATGTTTGTTCTTTTCTTAAAATCTCTTGAGCTTGGGTTGCTCACGCCACTCGATGTCCTACTCGCAGGTTGTTCTTGTTAAAACCATTTCGTTATTTAGCAAGTGCTGCATTGTTAGTCTAAATCATGGAGGTTATGTTTAATTGATTGCAAAACCCATTGTTTGCCAGTTACTGTATGGTGCATATGGATTCTGTCAAATGCTTGAATATTGAGAAAATATTTATTCTAGCCGCTTTATAGAAAAAATAAACAAATGTGATTAATTTGTTGGCTACTTTGATCATTACTAACAGTTTGCATCTCTCAGTTTTTTTTTCCTTATAAATTAGATTTTTTATGGAAATTTAGAGTTGAAGATTTATTTGTGTTTTTCAAATGCAAAGCGCAATGTGATGAACAAATTTCTATTTTTTCGTGTAAAAAAGATTGTGAAGTGGCGGTTTTATTAACCGTAGAACTCATAATTTATTATAAGTTATACTTATTACGTGCACATTTTAAATCTTTATTTAATCAAACCTGGACCCGGTTGAGTAATATATTTCAATACACAAACACACATATATTTATATTGTTCCACAAATCTTGGCCTGTTGGTGGAGGGGTAGTTGTAAGTCCCCTCAGGTCAAGGGTTCGATCCCACCGTGGCGCGGGGGTCTGGAATTTTAGACATATGGCGTGGGCTTTCATCATTGGGTCAAAAAGCGCATTGGAAATCAATATTTGGGCCTCTGTCAAATATCGATTTTCTTTTATATATATATATATATATATTAAAAAGCTCAAGGGCTATAAAGAGAAAATATACAGATAGGTTGTATGGGTAGGCTTAAAAATAAACACCCAACCCACACTATACAACACACCCAAAAAAGATAAAAAGGGGTATATATATAAAAGTAAAAAAGCCCAAAACCACCCGGGCACTAAAAAAATGAGGGTCATCCCAATCTTGTTCTGCCTCTAGCTCTAGTTCTCAGAAGGGATCCAGCTAGCAGATTGGTAAGGTCCGTACTATTACTCGACGTAACCAAAGTATCATCCTTAAGACTCCTGAGCTCAAATAAATCTTCATTATTCTTCTTTCTCCTGGAAGTGTAAACCTGCCATTCCTCATCCGAAGAATCAGTCTGACGAGGTGGTAAGATGAAGCAGAAGGATTAGCAACCGTAGTACCCACAATAGGTTCTAATATCTGTGAAGTATAGGCTGCCTCTACACTGAATGCTTCCTGAAGAGGGGGAGCTGCGAGGTTCTCCTGATTATCAATTTGAATACTGTCCTTGGTAGGTAATAGTCCATCAGTATTGTTTTTTATGGGGTTTTAAGGTGTCAACATCACAACACTCACAGTAACAACAGTGTCAAAGGGGCACAGGGGAAACAATATCCTCTCCAGGTGGAACTAAAATGTCCAGAGCAGTGAGGTTAGACCCATCCTTATTCACTTGAACCTTAGCCTTCAAATTAGGATGAAACTTGTGGAATTTATCAAGGATATGCCCAAACATCTTATAGTGGGTACAATATGCGGGTCTGTGTTCCATGACGATTTGTTGTCAATATCCATTATGGGTTGTGCCCAACCAAACTTCAGTAACGTCAGGTAAAGTAATATTCCTTTCCACAAGTATTCTGGCCACCGATGTTCTGGTTAGGTTGAAAGTAGACAGATATAGCTTCAAAGGATCCTCAAGGATAACCCTAATAAAGTAGAGAACGGTGAAAAAAATGCAACTTAAGACAAGGTAGACTAAACCATACCGGTACAGTGGGAGTTTCATGATTTGGGTTGAAATTAGGAGACCATTTGAGTTAGGAGACCATTTTGTCTGCGATATTAAGATATTTCTTAGAGAAAATTGGGGTATAGTCTTCAGCCACTGTTAGTTGAATCAACACTTGTCTCCCATCCTTGAGTCTCATTTTCTACTTGCCTACTAGCATACTACTAGCATAAGATCATCACCACTCTTTCTGGTAACATCCATAGGTGGGTGCCCCCACTGAAGTTTTCCAATAAGAGCAAACTTGAATTTTTCCGTCAAGGTAGAAATTTCTGAGTCAGAGAAAAAAATTATTGTTTTTCCACCTTTCTTACTTCCCTACTTAACAAAAGGGCAATCATTTGTACAATCGTGAAAATACTTTTAGCTTAAGGGGAATACCACCGCGGACTCCACCTGAGAGTTACCCACAACGTGGGCAAAGGAGACCTTTGTCAGTTCAACCAAAGAAGAAGGAAGAGCCATTAGAACAAGGGGAGGTGCTGGCGATCACCTGCAGCGAGAAGCAGCAAAACGACATTGCGTCGGGAAGCACGTTGTCGGGCCTGAGAGAAGCACGGGCGCATATGGTCGAAATGAAAAAACGTCTTAGCAGAAGGTCAAAACAGAAGGTTGGCCCAAATTAACTACCTTCCTAATCATTTAAATTTGGCAAATCATTGTACTGTCAAGGAGATGAAAGAAAATGAAACTCTTTTTCCATTTAGGTTCTCGAATCAGTGGAGATAGTATATTCTCGTACTTAAACGAACTTGATTTCACTGAATCTACCCAACAAGAGTAGTGAGAGTCCAACTCCAGCACATATTAGGAGACAAACTCTGTTTAAATTTTTAGTGCATTGTCTAGTTCTTTTAGACCTCATTTGGAGTTGCTTTTCAGTTGTTTTACTTTAGAATCCAACATATCAAAATATTGATTGATATGGGATATCATGTAGGGAAAACTATTGTTGCTTGTGCTCCTCCATAGATTCACAGCTATGACAGAACACTTACAGAGAAGCTTACCCATTTTTGAGAGATTAATGATTAATTTCTTATCAATCGGCACAACAAGCGACAAAACTTGAAGACTTTGTCTTTCCCTTGTTGCAGTCCTTATTTGTATCGAAGTGATGAAGATGATAGAATGGTTGCGGGCAGCAGCCTGTAAAATGTAGAGAAACAGTGATTTCAATTTTATGTCCTCTTGAGATCCATCTTATTATTTATCACCATTTGGTATTTTTCTTCTATACCATTGCTTGGAAAGCTTTTTATAGGTTTTACATTACATACTAATTCGGCATGGGATGCATGCATCTTAAGTTCCTATTTATGATGGTTTAAATTTTGGCGCATTTACACCCCCCAATTCCTATGTATTTACATATCTAACATCTATACTTTTTACATTTGTACCACCCAAACCTTTCATATCACATATAAAGTACCACCATTTTAATTTTTTAAAAGTAGAACATAACTTCTCATGCATAGGTAATGTGGCAGGTGTGTAAAAATTTAAGTTTAGGTGTTATATATGTTAATACATAGGAATTGAGTGTTATGTATGTAAATCTTAAATTTATTATAAATTTGCCTAGAAAATTGTTTAAAGGCTTTGTTGCCTTCTTTGGTGTTTTATTATGGTATTTATGAGTTTTAATCAATGTTATGTCATATATATATATATATATTAAATAACTTCAATATTACTGTAACACACCCTGCTTCCCTAGTACTTCCAAAATTAATTCTCATGGTATTCAATCATGTCTTCTTATGATCAATAAAAACTATATGTAGTTTCTTTGCATCTTTCTCTGCTCACTAAAATTTTCCTTTAATTGTCTTGCATAAAATGTGCTTCCATAATAGATATTTTTTATCATGTAACCAAACTTATTTTTTGAAGTAAATATATATATATTTTTTTCAAGTTTTTATTCCTTTGCTTTTATCAATAACTTTATTATATGAGTACTAAGTTCATTCCTCCATCATGACCTCATTATCTAACATATCTCGTGGTTCTTAAACAATGCTGCAAAAAATTTGTTCAAACATTCAACTACAGTGATCTATATAATTCTTTTTGAAATTTTTGTGAGAAAAATGGAGCATTTGAAAGACTTTATGGGCATTATTGATTTTTTTTTTATCTCAGGAGAAATTTAGATAAAAATTTTTTGCGACTGTCATACTCTAGCATATCAGGTTATGAAATGCCATTCAACCCAGAAAATATTCAAAATCATGGAGAAAGTTATAGCCAAATAGAAATGCGATGGTAGTCTGTGAAGTAAAATTGTCAAAAAAGTTATCATAAAATAACCCTTTAAATATCAAAATTCTTGCATTCACATTGAAGTCATGTTGTATTGTAATTTTTGTTGTAGACCTTGTTTTTTTCACTACAATTGGGTCAAGTTGTTGTACGTCACTGTAGGCAACAGTGCCTATTTTCACTAAACTTTGGTTAAGTTGTTGCACGTTACTTACATTTGATGTTGTGGCCAACTCTTGCTTTTCATCTTGGGTCTGATTGAATTCTGGCCAAAGTCTTAGCATTAATTAATGATTTGGTCATCAAATATGGATAGTGTTTTGCACACGTATATATAGGATATGCAGACAAAAGTAATGTTGAAGATTAAAAAGGAAAATGGGCAGATCAAAGATATCATGTTAGCACAGAAGTTATGTGAAATGATTTACTCAAATATATAAAATTGAACTTGGAATGAATGGAGTTTGAGTTTCATAAAATCGATGCCCAATTATTGGAATAAGTAATGATGATATAAATTAACCATGTGGGGTCTATAAGAATAAAACATAGAAAAGCCTACGAGTTAGTTGAAGCTTCTGAATTTTCAAGTTTTGGTGTTGTTCAACTTGGAAATTATAAGTATGATAATTTGCGAAGAATCGTTTCAGTTTGGGGAGACGAAAGGAAGATCAGAAGAAGAAAAGGCAAACAGGCGGAAAATGAAATGAAGAAGCGAGGAAGACAAAATGAAGAGTCGGGGAAGCCGAACAGACCGAGAGGAAACAAGAGGTCAGAAGTTTAGGAGGAGATTTTAACTATATAAATCGACTTATTCGACGGTAGGAAAGAGGCGACGTCACTGTCATGTAGAGGCGGTGAGTGCAGGGGTTTTTGCATACTTGGTCTTGACGAACGAATCAATAAAGAAGAAGAAGAGGGGGGACGTTGTTGTCTGGCGACGACGACTCTATTGAGCTTAATGGAGGAATCGACGAGGTTGTCGTGCAAAGGAAGAGGAAGACAAGAAGGGTTGAGTTCGTGCGAGAGACTAGACTTTCGATTTGGGTCACTCGCTAGTAGAAAGGAGGTAGAGGAGGGCTCTCGCGGCTGTAGATGCTTGGGCAAGCTTTTCTATGTGAAGTAAAGTCTTGACCGAGCCTTGCTACTCGGTTCGAGTGATCTAGGGCACGAGAGAGGGGAGTAAGGTAACATACTTAATAATTTGAATTTTATAATTTATCACAGAAGCTTTATATGAATTAAATTCAATCTTATTGTTTAAAGGTAATCAGTAGTAATAATAATAGTAATAATAATAATAATGATATATATATATATATATATATATATATGATTAGAAAAATAAAAATGTGATAATTAAAAAAACTTATTAAATTTGTACAAAGATAATAGATAAATTAAAATTTAATATGAATACCATGTTTATTTTATACATTCAATTTTAGATGAGTCGGCGTTAAAACTAATTAATGGACATCGAGATGAGCACTTGTACTTTTAAACTATAGTAATAATTTGTTTCTTCTCAAATATGTTTGTTGTTGATGATATTTGTGGACGCTTTATTTTGGTTGAACTATTCTTTTCTTTATTGTTCATATCTTTGCAAATGTTGTAGCTATTTACTTATGCATTTTAGTTTATATTTTATATAGTATGATTGAATGTGATTAACACATGTTTATGTTGACTGCTTGTATGTGCATGACTGACTATGATGGAACACTCCTTGATGGTATTAGTGGGGGAACACTAATGTACATGTACCTGAAAAAAGATATTGATATTGATGTGTCTTAATTGATAATTTTTAGACGGTGTCTTCCGTGATGGTTGTATAAGTATGAAATGATATTGATATGCTATTGGTAAAATAACACTCTTGAATAACATCAAATGTTCTTATTGATTTATTTAAACAGTTTAACTGACATGCATATTATTTCTCTCATGTTTTACTGTAGTTTGAGTACGAGTATTCACTAACTCGTTTAGCTCACAGTTGTTTTAACTAACATTTTAGGTTTAATTAAATTATTAAAAGATGAGTGATAGATGAGAAAATCTTTATAGAAGATTGTATCAATTTAATCTAATTTGTAATGGTTTATTCTTCTGTTAAATTGAAGGTTAATATAAAAAAATTATTTCACACTGTTCGACTGTCCGTTCTCACCTTAGTAAGCCCCAGGCCGGGTCATGACATAATCTTTGTAAAATATTCATGATTCTATTTCATTTAGGTTTAATGAAGCTAAATAGGAATTTTTGGGACAAAGCTGTTTCTGTTTTAACTCTGTGGTGAAGCGCGTAAGCAGGCCCTTGTTACCTTTATGTTCTTTATTCCTATTGTTATTGTGATTCATTTTTGCAATTCCAAGTGAAGGATCAGTCCTATTAGGGTTTCTATTCTATCTTGTCAATTTATTTCATGATTAGCACATCATATTTCGCCATGTCTACTGGCTTAATTAGAATTTTGCAACTGAAATAGCTTTTTATTTAACAGGAGTAAAAGGCCTAAGTTGGATCCAGATGGTACTGTAGAGATTGAGAAGCCCACAAATTTAGCGTCTATCAATGAAAATACTGGTACCATTAGCTGAATCCCTCATAAGATGATTTAAGGCGTGCTACTTGTATCAGGAAATTTATTATAAGAGCCTTTAAATCAATGCACTAGGTTTAGAGTACTATGAAATTGAGTTGGTAAGATTGTATAATGGATTTAATCTATCGAGTGCACAGTTCAATCTTTACATACTGTAGATTTTTTTTATTACTTTTATTTTTGTAATTCAGTTTTAAAATTAATGCAACCTAAATAAGATGCGTTTTTGAGGTCAGATGAGCAAAACTTATACAGGGATTGCCGGCTGACACATCCTAGGAAATTCCTCATAAAGTTCTGTTTTTGCTGTTTGGGACTTAATTAAAAAACCGTTCTCTTTTTTTCAGCAAGTTCATGTTCGTTTCTGTGTTAGCCAGGCTAATTTTAACGTGGACAGTGACTGTTCTGTAATTGCTGTGGTTTTCAAGCTAACTGTTTGAAAATTATTAATAACATCGGTTGGATTAATTACATTGGTTGGAGTAAAGTATTTATTCTTGTTTGCTTTACTAAAGAACTTCATATCTAACTTTTTTTAAGGTTGTAAATGCAAACATCTAACCTGAAATGCGTAGCGTTTTGAGTAAAGAGGGATAAACTGTATCACAGAACATTGTCACTCTTTACCTTGAAAGAGATTTTTCTTTTCATTCAAGATGAAGTTGAGCATATGGTTGTTTTTCTTTCCTTTTTTTATGGGTGGAGATGGGGGAGGGATATTAAATTGTGAAAAAAGAACAAAATAATCAGCATTACTTACAAGAATAAGCAATGCAGAATGAAATTAACGAACATTCAAATTTCACGTCACTCTGGTTCACAGTTTGATTTGATGATGACCACTGAAGATGCTGTCACCTTAAATAGTGCAATTTATTTTAGCTTGGCAAATTTTTCAATTGTCCTGTTGTCACTTTCTTTTCTGTCATACGGAGTGTAAAAGGCTCCTTGTTACACAATTTATTTTGAAAATGTTGGCACATATTTTATTGTTATTAGCTTATTAAGTTGTTCAAGCTTTATCATTGAGGCCATATCCTGGAAAAGGAATGCAAAGGATATAATCATATCTACAAATTAGTATGGTTATGTTTGGCTTAAAATCTCTCAATGGTGGAGTGAAACGTATATTTTCATGACTAAATGCTCACTGCAAAACTGTGTTGCAGTAATAAAGGAGAAGTTATTTGGTAAAAAATGATTTGAAGAGGTGTTATTGAACAAATTCATTGAAGCTCATATTAAAGAACAACTAATATACTTCAATTGCGCTGACATTCATACTCCATAGCCCTGTACCGCACTATGTGGCAGTGATTCAAGCCCTCGTTTTTCTTGGCAATATCTAGCGGCAATTTGGGTTATTGACTCTATTAAGCAACCTTGCTGATGTTTTGATTGTCAATGTATACTTTCATACGTATTAAGTTCTAATATGCATACTTTTTGTAGGTTCATCTTCAGAAGTTCAAGATGAGGGCATATGCCCACCACATCCCGGCTTTTTTAAAGGATTGTGCATGAGATGCGGACAATTGGAGGAGGATGATGGATCGGGTTTGGCATTTGGTTATATTCATAAGGTACCAATCATAAACTTTTATTTTTTTTTTTGCTTCTCATCCATAGCATCATGTTTTATTTAACTCATTATCTTGATTTAGTATTACTGTTTATTTTTGTTTGATGTATGACAATCATTATGAAATTTGGCATCTTTGTAGTTATGTGGTATAGGAACTATCTTGATTTTCCGTTTGTATATTCCACAAATGAAGAATAATTGCATAAATATGTTGAGAAAAAGGGCCAATGCCCAATCTCAATTCCCGGGGCTTCTTTTGCTCATGGATGAGCCTTTTTAGCTTGGTACAGAGGTTTTTGCATACTGTTAATAGTATTTTTTATTTTTTTGTAAATGATAAAAATTGCGGAGTTATTGTGAGCTAAACCAATCCCAATTATTGTTAGGCTCAAACAATTTAAATTGTTAATTTTAAGTACTAACTATTTGTTTCCCAATCCTAAATCCTCCCTACCACACCCTGGCCTTTAGGAGGAAATAACCTGCTTTGCTTGTCTCTCTTTATACCCGTGTGCTTCCCCCTTCCATACCACTTTTTGTCACTCATTGGAAGTATTATCATTTTTTTCTTTTTTAGACCAATTTATGGAGTTGTTTGTCGGTCAACTCTTTTTTTTTATTTGAAAATAATTTTGAAATTTAATTTAATATAATAGGTATATAGTTTCGGTTTTGAAAGTAATATGTTTTAGTTTTCGAAAAATGAGACCAAATGAATTTTATGAGTCTAATAGTTTGCATAATCGTGCTGATACCGCAAATACTACACCTTCTCGAAAGATAAGTACATACCGCGACGATAGACTCAATCCTGCAAACTAAAAAATTCGTGACATCGTTTAGCCTGCAAACTTTTTATGCGTCATCAACAAGTTCCCCTATTTAATATGAAGATTAAATAAGTTTACCTGGGTTCCAAGTTCCCTATAGAGGCAAACTCATATAGTTAATTACATCTCAAATGACTGGAGTCATTGTAGAAAACTCTCGATAATGATCAGAGGTACTAGTCTTTAAGAATTCAAAGTTTAGGTTTTCACGGTAGAACGTGGAAAAACAAGTAGAAGTAGCTCAAATAGGAACAATTATTTTTAGGAGTCAAAATGAAGGAAAATGTAAGAGTGTTACAAATCCTGGGGAGAAACTTCAGTGACTTCCCAAACTATCCTAAACTGTGGCTGAGTTTTGGAGATGATGTTATTTAGGTGTTTAATTCTGTCAATTTTATTATTCGGAACTTACATTTGCATAATATTCGATTATACAAATAACCCGCAAAGATAGGAGAATTTACGTCGTACCACCCGACAACCTTGAAACCTAAGGCGAGTTAGGACTTACGTTGTACAACATGGTTATGCAGGATCCTAAAGAAGCTACCTCGAAGTCCTATGGGTTGTTATTTAGACTAAAGAGAGAGTATAGCTGGTGTAGACTTGTTTTGCTGTTGTAGAATAACGACTACCTCCAATTGTAGTCCGCTCCAAGCTCCTTGCCGCGCTGCCCACAAAGTTAGATCCAGGCTCCTGTTGTAGCGATGACTCTAAGGTTTAATTGTTTGAGATTGGTGGTTTATGTTTCAGAGTTTTGGTGTCAAAGTTTGGTTTTGTTTTTGTTTTTGTTTTTGTTTCGGTTTCAGTTCTGATTTTGTATGCAAAATAAACAGATTGCAGGTAAATAAAAGACACTTGAAAAGTAAAATGCAGTGAAGTAAAATGTTGTAAATAAATTGTAAAAGCATACCTGAGCATTTGCTACTGTTGCGTAATTAGCATTGCAAGCATAATATGATTTGCAGCAGATTTAAATAAATTTGTAAGAAAAATAAGCAAAGCGAGAAGACCCAGCACGAAAGTCAGAAAAATGAGTCGTAGCAAAATACGAAGATTCAAAGAAAAATCCACGGTCACATATGGAAGACCAAGACTAGGTATAAGACATCAATAAAGGTGGGGGCTCAGAGCTATACTGTGTGCTTCCCAACATTGGTAAGAGTTACCAACCCGACAATCTACAGAAAGCAGTTATTAACCTCAATCCAAGTGACTATTTGTTGACCTTTGTAAGTTTTACCAAAATTCTTTTATTTTTCATGCAAAAGTTAGTGTTTAGATTTACATGCAGAGTTCACTTTAACAAGCAAAAGAAATTATTATTATTATTAATATTTTTATTTTTGTAAATATTTTGTAAAGTAGTGTAATCCATAGGTGAGTCACTATAATCGTGCCAGGACTACTGACAACCAGCGTCGGGGGCGACAATCCCATCAAGAGTCGACAGATAGTATCATTGGTTCTTTCCTCTCCCTTATTGAAGGTTTTTGAGGTAGGAGATACTATTCTAATAATATCACTTCGTATCCATCGTTTAAGCAAACATAAACAATGTCGTTATCGCCCTCGCCACCTAGACCCTAGACTTATTCTAGTTCGGTGATCCATATGTCGTATTAACAAATGTCCCCAATTGCCGGAAGGATTTGCGTGTAATGTTCAAGCTCAAATCCCGGTGCATTGAGTTTTACTATAGGTTGTCATGACGGGAATTCCACTATGGATTTAATTAAGGAAACATGAACTCATCTCGGTGCATCCTCATGCCTAGTGTCTTAATCAATTTGTGAATCAGGGTCAAGTACCCAGTTTCATTATTCATTCAAAAATTAGGTAGATGAACGCTCACATAGGTTGTGCTCCTAAAATCTAGGAAGACTATATTGAACAATTAGGTAGATGAATTCTCACTTAAGATGTACTTCTAAAAATCTAGGAAGCGTACACTGAAAATTAGGTAAGTGAACTCTCACTTTATGGTGTGCTACTAAAATCTAGAAAGCCTACACTGAGAATTAGGTAGAAGGATTCTCACCTAGGGTGTGCTCCTAAAATCTAGGAAGTCTACACTAAGAATTAGGTAGGACTCTCATCTTGGGTGTGCTCCTAAAATCTAGGAGGCATACACTGAGAATTAGTTAGATGAACTCTCACCTCGAGTGTGCTCCTAAAATCTAAGAAGCTTACACTTTAACTTTTGTTTAAAGTGACTTAAGGTGTTATATCCTCAATTAAGCGTTTTCCAACTAATCCTCAAATATTTCTAAGTGTCTTCCAAGTATTTAAATTAGAAATTCCCATTTTTTGATTTAACCATTGGCGTAAGAAGCGAAACAAAAGAAAAAAAAGGAAGGTCGATCCACCCCCAAAACCAGCAAACCAAAAGGGAAGAAGAAAATGAATCAGTCCTAAAAGCGCTTCAATTCTTTCAACAACTGTACTTAAATAAATTCTCGAGAAGAGTGCTTAAGTTTGTTCCAAGACAGTGTTTTGATCGGCCCAAAAGTCTTCCAATTCAGTAAGAAAAAGAGAATTCCAAAAGTCACCAAATAGACTCAGAAAAGTGCAGACCAAAAGCCGTGAGATGAAATCAAGAAACACAACCCTTAAGTTCCTAGACGGACCCAAGAAGTGCAACCCATAAGCCACTAGACAGGCCCAAGAAGTGCAGCTTTGACACTTCTTACAGCATCCCAGAGCAATCGACAACTCCAAACAACAACTTGGACATTTCCTACAGCGGCATACAACAATCGACAACCTCAAACAACAACTTGGACTCTTCCTACAGCCTCTTACAGCGATCGACAACTTTAAACAACAACTTGGACACTTCCTATAGCCTCCTACAACAACCGACAACTCCAAACAACAACTTGGACATTTCCTACAACCTCCTACAGTGACCGACAACTCGAAACAACAGACAACTCCAAACAACAACTTGGACATTTCCTACAGCCTTCTACAGCGATCGGCAACTCCAAAAAGCAACTTGGACAATTCCTACAGCCTCCTACAGAGATCGGCAACTCCAAACAGCAATTTGGACTCTTCCTATAGCCTCTTACAACGATCGACAACCTCAAACAACACTTATACTACCATTTCTCAGCCCAAAAAGAACTAAACAATAACCTATAGCACTTGTAAGCTTTCAAACAACACTTTCTAACACTTTCTCAACTCAAAACAACATTTTTAACTCCTCAATCGCTAATTTGCAGCGTTACACAACACTTAATTAACTCACAAAACATATTTTAGAAGCTCCAAAACAGTGAGCAATTTAAGCATAAATAAGCCCCCCAAAACCCCTCCAAAACAGTGAATAAAGCAGTCCCAAATGATGTTTTTACTTTTCTTATAATAGCAAGTAACCGACCTATAAAATCGGCATTTAAATCAACCATCGGAATAGCGTTTAATTAAGCATAAAAAAATAGTAGTTAAATCATTTCCAAATCAACAATAATACACGACAAAAAGCTGCTCTTAAAACTTTCTAAATCATAACGTTTCAAGTCAAAACAACATCAAGGTTGAACCACAACAACAAGGCTAGAAAGCCAAGATAACTCTTTAACGAAGCATAAATGCGCAATAGACATTGAGGGGAGCATATAAGAGAAATTAACAGGTCAAAACAGTGGCATGCCAAAAATATCAATTGTTCTTAACCGTCATCACATGATGCTTTGTATCAAGGAGTAAAACAAACTTTTAAGTGCAGTTTTAAAGAAATTTGTTACATTGATTTTCCAGAAATCCGCACAGAAGCAAAACAGGCGAGGAAATCATCACAACAGCTTGATATACATTAATGAAAACATGCAAATGGATAATTGAGATGAGGAGTTTACGGGAAAGATCGAACTTTTTAGTAAGAACAGCGGCTAAACAAAAAAAAAAAGAAGTGCAGGAATTTTGGCTATATGTTCACCTCGATCTCGTCATTGCCTCCTTACTGACAACAACCGCGATTACCTGGAGATTCAGTTGGGACGACAATAGTTTAAGGCGGAATCGGGATCGAGAGGGAGACGCGAGGGCGAGCGGTGCAGAGGGGGTTTCGGTGTCGAGCAGGAGAGGCGAGCTGAGCCGGAGGAGAGAATCGAGCGATAGAGGAGGCGGGGTCTGTGGCTTTCGGTGCAGAGGCGCA